TTTCAAATGTCAATCAATTTTGACCCTTGATATTTCAATTTTAGTTTTAAGAATATAAGGTTTTTATTATTATTTTTTATTTTGTAAAATTGGTATCTAATTCAATGTCAGAATACTTATCGATGTATTGGAAACATTGGGCATGCGAGAATATGCAAATCAAAGCAGATAACAATAAACAAAATCATGTCAATATAACTTGCAAGAAGTGTTTGAAAATAAATAAAGTTCAGTGATCAAAATGCAAGAAGGCCAAAGTTATAGGGACTAAGAAAGGAAATCTATGAAATATAACGTGTATAGTGAAATGTGAAACGATGAGTAGTATATTAACAGTGAAAAAAAAAACCCTCCTCTGAAATATTATTACAATACTCTGACTATAGTTTCAGTCAGTGGGAAGGTCTCGTGGCTTTTAACTTGGGGTCTGACATTAACTTTTGGGCATAGTCTGATATGAGCTTATTTTATTTGGATTAAGATCCAGGCCTTTTTCTGTCTTTAATCATTGGGCTTACGCTCCACACACACACATAATCACAAGCTAATCTCAAGGAATTTGTTAAGAAGTTAAATCACAGAAATTATTATCACAAGCCATTCTTTTGCATTCCTTTGGGATGAGCCAGCCAACCTCATCGTCTACCTTACCTTCAGCCTGCGCTTGGATCTCTCGTCTGAGATCCCCTGCTCAAGTGCTGTTCCAAGTATTCCTGTGTTTTCTCTTTATTTAATTATCTTGTTTTTCCAAAAGCAAATGAAACCCGTCTCCTCCCCCTTTCAAAGCACTTAATATTCTTGATTCCAACTAATGGGGAAATTTAGCAAGTGCTTAGAAAAGAACTTCCATAATTAGCATTATAAGTACGTTATTGGTATATTTAATTGGATGGATATGAGCCCTAACTCTAGTTATATGCGCAGCTCTAGTTCATTAAATTTAGTTTTCTCGATTCAAATTTCTGTTTCAAGCCAACTATCATCGTCTACCTTACCTTCGGCCTGCGCTTGGATCTCTCGTCTGAGATCCCCTGCTCAAGTGCTGTCCCAAGTATTCCGTGATCTTGTTTTGCCAAAAGCATATGAAACCCGTCTCCTGCACCTTTCAAAGAACTTAATATTCTTGATTCCAACTAATGGGGAAATTTAGCAAGTGCTTAGAAAAGAGTTATTGGTATATTTAATTGGGATGGATATGAGCCCTAACTCTAGCTCATTAAATTTAGTTTTCTCGATTCAAATTTCTGTTTCAATTAATTTTGGAAAACTTATTGGATTTGCTTCCAGGAAAGTAGAGTCTAATATTGTACAACCCGGGAGGCGCCTAGGCTTCAAGCCTTCAACATCACCCCATAAAAAGAAGAGAAAAAAAATGGCCGCCTCCGAAAGCCTCATGCCATATTTAATGATTAGAATGTGTCTGTTTTTATGTTTAAAAAATGTGTTTTTTTTTTAAAAAATTGTTTTAAATTAATTGATGATTAATGATTTTAAATTATTATTTTAATGTACCGAAATTAAAAATTAAAAATATTATTTTAATATATTTTTATAAAAATTATTTTCAAAAAACAACTATTATTCCAATTTCAAAATCTATAATGCAGCTATAAAGGATAAAAAAACAGACTTGTTAAATAAAAAATCAACCATTGTAATTATAGAGGTTGTAATTATAGAGGGCGCCGCACTTGCTTTTGCTTGCTATTACTGTAGTTTCTCGAACGCTGCTAGCATTACAATTTATTTCCTTAATAGTATATCAATTTCTAACTACATGATTATAAGTAAATCAAAGCTGATTTTTTAATGATTGTTATTTCTAAATACATAACTATAAGTTAATAAATAAATAAACATTAACTGCATCCAATGGCAGCTTAGACATTTTCATTTTCTAAGAAAATTTAAATTGCTTATCTACTATGTAAAGAGACAAAAATAAAGTTTTTTTTTTTAATTAGAATGATTATAAGTTCAATTCTAGTTATATACCTAACTCTAGTTTGTTAAATTCAGTTTCCTCATTTGAAATGTCCTGGTAGTAGGGCGGTATTCACGACATACTCATAACGAATATTCAATTATTATTTTTACTGAGTATGATATTATCATCTTATTTTTTTAGTTAATTATTATAATTTTTTTATTCATCTTATTTACTGTTACTTTTTTTTAATTATATTATTAAATTAATAAAATTTATTTTACTCAATCAAGTAAATAATATGAAATTCAGACTTTTTTTAATTTTTAAAAAACATTAGTGTGTCCATATATATATATATATATAGAGAGAGAGAGAGAGAGTGATGGAGCAAGATACATGATTTTTAAGGAGACCTGGCCATGGACGCAGAAACCAATCTAGTACACTACTATTCTAAGAAATTGCATGCTTTGGACCTTTTTTTTAAATGCTAAATGTCGCCGACTCCCGACCTCTTCCAACTCTTTTATAAAAGTGTTTCTAAATACTTTGTCATCTACCTTACTTTCGGCTCGATCATGGATCTTTCATTTGAGATCCTCTACATCAGGGGCGGAACTAGGGGGTGGGAAGTAGGGATCCGGCCCTGCAAAATATTTTAAAATATTTTATTATTTAATATTTTTAATTTAAATAAATAAATTTTTTAATAATATATATTATTATATTAGTTTTGGCCTCCCTTATAAAATAAATCTAGCTTCGCCCCTGCTCTACATAGTGGTGTCCTACGTAGAATAATTTTCAACATTTATCCCAAAATAACTATTTATGATTTAAAGAATAACTAAAAATTAAGAAAATAATCAGCATAATTAGAAACGATATTTTGATTTTTAATTACATTATATTTAACAACCAAAATACTAATTTCCCTCGAAAACAATGTTTCTTTTTAAAATACAATTTAAATTTTGAATGAAAGCCATGAATAGAGGGACTCAAATTAATATTTCTTAAACCTTAGGAACCTCATTCAAACTAAAATTGTTTGGGCATTCAATCAAAGTTTATGAATTTCTTTTATATTTGCTTAAAAAATATTATTGAAAATGTAATAATGTATTTTTTATTTACTTTATGTATTAATCAATTTTAATTTTTTTCCTAAATTAAAACATACATTATTACATTTTCAATAATATTTTTTAAGCAAATATAAAAGAAATAAAAGAAAACACCTCATGCTTTTTCATTAAAAAAAAAAACAAAAAAAACCAAGTAAAATTATCCTCAAACAAAAAAAAATACATCCATTTGTTTGAGGATAATTTTACTTGGTTTTTTTTGTTTTTTTTTTTTAATGAAAAAGCATGAGGTGTTTTTATTAGGAACGAAAGGCAGCTCCCACTAGTATGGTACGGAGATACTCTTGTGTTTATTGCTGTCGGCAAGGTAGAACACTGTACAGTGTGAGATCACAAGTCTGATGCAAGCGATGACATCAGCCCATGTGGCACCCCCGCTGCATAGGCTTCACGTGTCCATTTCCCTAAGATGCGGCTTCCGTTTTCTAGGTTAAAATTATTTTACATGCTTTTCAACTCAACAAGCATAAGCTACATTATTGTAATTGTATTTGGTGCTGTTATAACAGTTTTTTTTTAATATTTTTTATTTTTTAAAATTTAATATTAATAAATTTAATTTTCTTAAAAAAATATAATCATGTCATACTTAATTAAATTTTTAAATAACAAAAATATATTTTAAAAAAAATATAAGGATTAAAACCCCTATCCTTTCAATTAAAACTAAAAATTAGGGTGGATGCATGACATTCCCTCATATCATAAGTTGAATATAATTTTAATTTTTCAACTTTAATTTGAACAATAAAGCTATGAAAATAGGAAATTGAATTGATAATACATGTTGATTTAATTTTTTTTATAATAAACTTGAGGTTTTTCTTCATATCCGTTTTATTCAAAATATCCTTTTGTGTGTTTATCATTATCATATATGTATTTAACACTTTATTAATATTGCAATCTGATGGAAAAGAGGATGCTAGATTTCTAACAAAAAAATTAAGAATTTACTACATGATTGGTTGGATATAATGAACTATATAATATAATGATCTATTATTTTATTGCGTTTAATTTTATAATTTTCAAAATTATAATATAATGGACTATTACAATTATAATGATTCATTACATTACAAATATGACATAAAAAACCATGTAATGAATAATTACACGATGAAGAGTAATCTAACTTGATTGTAAAATTTTTTTATTATAAAGATTCAATTGTAAATTATATAAAGTACAAGGACAAAATAATCTAAATAGAGACCAATTTGTAGATAAAAATAAAATATAAAGACAAAAATAATATATTTTTTAACCAAATATATATATATATATATATATATTAAAATTTCATTTATTTTGCATATAAAAATCAATCTTCACAATAATTTTAATTATATATATATATATATTTTAAAATCTTTTTTATAAAATCACAACTAAAATTATTTTTTTAAAACCTATATTTTATTTTGTTAAATCGTAACTGCAAACACTTGCAGAGTACCCAACACACACACACACACACACAGAACTTGCGGTCCATAGTGATTAAAAATATAAATAAAAAGCAGGCAGAGTCAATTATACTGGGAGCCGCCGGATGTGCATTTGCTCGATTGCAGCTTGTCAAAAGATTGCAATTTTAACAAATAACAAGTAAATTTGCCAACGGAAAAATAAAATAGATGTACATTAATACTATCTATTAAACAACGACCTTTCTTGAAAGAAATATATCTTTTTCCTGACGAGACAACCTGAAACATGTGCAGGAATGTTGTCCAGGGGTGCCTTCAGATCTATGTTTGGATGTGTCTCAAAAAGGAGATGGGAAAAGGTGGGCCTGGACAGGACGCAAGCATGGCAGCCTAGACTTCTTGGGAAAATGAAACTGGGAAAGGGTTTATTTAATTGCAGGCAACCATGGGGCGGGACACTACAGTTATATACTCCTTAGAGAGCCATTAAGCGTTCATATAGCCAATAACAGCACCAAGTAGCTTGATTTCTCTTTCAACTCGAACTCCATAAAAGGGTTTTTCAGTTTCTTGATCTCTACCCTTGTAAAACACGATCTTGTCGCCCACTTTGAGTTTCTTCTTGTTTGCAAATGCAAGCCAACCCTTGGAAAGAACTGGCTTCTTGTACTGTCCTTTCTTGCGAGTGGAGCATTGAAAAGTCCAGACTTTGCCTCTCTCATCTTTAGCTTGAAAATCTACCGCATGGCCGCTTTTGAATGGTGGGAGAGACTTGAGAAACTTGATAGGCACTGACAGTCTCTTCTCAGCATCTGTCTTGGTGAGGATCTTGGAGAAGATGGCCATTTCTTAGGGCAAAGAAGGATAATGGAAAGTTATTTCTATTTGTTAATGCCAGCTTCTTCTCTGGGCGTGTGTGTCTCTGTGCGTGTAGAGAAAGAGAGAGAGACAGAAAATTTCCAAAAAGGACATTAGTCATCCGTCGTCTATCAGCCTCTTCCATCATCTCATGCTGTAATAATTTGAGTACAGTCCCAAATAGGGATAGACTACCTTTTGTAAAAGATCCAAAAGGACATTTGTGAAATCGAGCGACGTGTAGCTAAACAACAAAAAGTATCGTGCGATGTCCTTGTGAAATGAATACAATCTATGTACGCAATATGCACGTGCGCAATATAATTTCCTCGTTTGTGTATATTATTCTAATTATTAAAAAAAAACATTATTGAAATTAAAATAATTGGATGAATTTTGAAAAATAATACAATATTTTTATATATTTTTTACATGTTAATATTAAAAATAAATTTTAAAAAATAAAAAGTATATTATTTTTTTTTTTTTAAAAAATACTTTTAAAAATACCAAATGTGGAACTTAAATACACTCCATTTTAATTAGTAACACGACCCTTCCCTCTCCTTGGTGGAATCTCTAGTTTTGACTTTTTATTTTTTTGTTTTGAATAGAAAAGTAGCCGAAATTTATTTGTCCACAAAATGGAGTCTTTTATTTTTTTTTCTGCCAACAATGTGAGCTGTCACTAATTGCTTTGCTTATTTGTTTCCATAATTGCTTCTGTTTTTTAAGCAAATTATAGGAAATAATTGTTTAATAGCAATTAAAAAGTAATTTATTATTCATGCATCCCATTATTTTTTATATTTAAAATACTTGGGGAAGGAAGATGGTTTTCTGCTGCATCTGTGTGGAGAAATTATTTTTTATTGTTTATTTAAGTGAATAATAGAAAGTGATTTTATTATTTACATGAATAGAAAATATATTTTTATTTTTTTAACTTGATTGGATCCAATTCAAAATTAAATATATTATTTAATGACATTATATATAATCAGGAAGGAGAATTTAAATTGGAATTGTAATCAAATTCTATAAATATTACATCATCAAATGTTTTTTTATCTAATTTATGTAATGTCATTAAATAATATTAAATACTACTTTTTTGAATAAAACCAAATTAAAAATAAAAAAATAATTTTTTTTTATCATACTAGGTTTAGGATTCATATCAAATTAAAAAAATTTAGTTTTGACGGTCATGCCAAACTCAAAAGTGTTGAAAAAAATACATTTAAACTATCATTAAAGTATTTTAAATAGAAGTTTTAATTATTTTTTTTAATTTTTTATTAAAAACCATTTAAATTATCTTTAAAGTATTATAAATAAAAAATTCTAATTATTTATTTTTATAAAAAACATTTAAATTATGCTTGAAGTAATCCTAAATTAAAATTTTAATTATTTTTTTATTTTTTATTAAAAAATATTTAAACTATCAATAGAGTATCCTAAATAAAAATTTTAATTATTTTTTTAATTTTTCAAAGGCTATTATGACCGGCAGTCATGCTTTACTTGATAACTTTTGATATGACAAACATATTTAATTTGATGAAAAAAAAATTATATAGTTTAGTTGTCATTAAAAAAACACAAATAATCAAATAAACATAAAAAAATAAGATAAAAAATTAAAAATAAAATTACCATTATAAATTATAGTAAAATATCTCTTAACCTAGCTACAATGATTTTCCTTGTATAATTTAACTTTTGTTATAATAATAATACAACTAATGAAAGTTTATATTAATGTTGCAACGGTTAAAAAAAAGTATTTTATCAAATTAGCAATAATTTGTTTTTGAAAATAAAAAAAATATTTAAAAAATAATATAATTTGAAGACAACCATTTTTAAAAAGCAAGACTTTATTAACAACTATTAATGTTAATAACTGTTGTTAGCTTTTATATTTTATTAAATAATTGTTATTATTATTAGTGATCATTTAGAATCATTAAGCAACCACTATTCTCCTTAGTATTTTATTAAACAACTATTCTTATCATTAAGAGTCATTTAGAACCGATAAGTGTTGTTGATTGTGGGAGATTAGAGGCGAGGACGAGTTCAAGGATTTCCCTGGTTCTGCGTAAGGAGTTTTCGAAATCCTCCCCAGCTCTTCGTAAATTTTCAAGTCAATTTTATAAAATGGCCCGTCCAAAATTAAACTGTTACACTCTCACCTCTAATGCCATGCTCTGAATTCGTGAGCATGGAGAAGTCAAATGGATAGTTAAAAATAAAAAATTAATATTTTGGTTTTTTTTGTTTTGCACATTCCAATGGAGAAGCCAAACAAAATACTAAAATGCCTCTTCTTTCCCACAAATACTATTTTTATATATCTCTTTAAAGAGCCAAAACCAACAAAGTGGGATCATTAAAAAAATAGATCAATTAAATGTAGACATGTGGAAAAAAAAATAACATTAAATAATATTAAGAAATAATAAAACACTTATTTTTTTCACTGTAATATAAATGGCTCTTCAAATAGCTTTTTTCCATTGGAATAGACATGATAAGATAAGTTATATTTATACTATTCAAAATACTATTTTATTAATTTAATTTTTCAAAATAGGATTCTGGATTGGAGATGCTCACCTCTAATGCCATGCTCTGAATTCGTCCCTGGAGCGAAGGGCTGGCTACTGCTTATTGTGCAGACACCGTCTGGAACCAGGAAACAAGACCTAGCCTTGTGCTTAACTTTTTGTTTAAGGATTACATGCAATAATAATTACTCTATGGTGGCAATTCATGCTGATGCTGTTGTTGGAATGCCCTCGGATTGAAAATTAAAAAAAAAACTACTAAAAAGTATAAAAAATAAAAAATAAATTTAAACTAGTTAAAAAACAAACATGCAAAGCACGTATCAAACAATTGGTGTGTGTATTAAGATTAAGTTAAAATGGATAACTATTAGACTGCTAACTATAATTGTGATTAATATAATTATTAAACCTGATCAAGTAAGTTGACTAAAAAACTTGTAGCTATTTTTTAAGTTTAATTAAAAAAACATTAATGTGGTAAAACGTTATTAACTTAGCTAATTTTTTAGTAATTTGACTTTGATATAGTAAAGCGTTATTAAGTTAACTAATTTTTTAGTAAATTGATTGATTCAATTAAATCCAATCCAGTCCAATCTGACTACTGTACTCTAACATTCAATAATAATTTATAATCAAATAACCCAAGATTACTTTCCAAGTCAATCTGAACTCTACTGTACTCTAACATTTATGATAATTTATGATCCACTGCCACTAGAATGATTCCTCAATTAATATGCCAGTAAGGTTCTACCATCATATTTAACTCTCACATTTAAGAGCCCATGTCAGGAGGAAGACTCTTACAAAGTAATTAAAGAAACGACAAACTAACAATTTTTTTCATAAAACAAAAAAAGAAAAGAAAAGAAAACCCAACCTCCGAAAAAAAAAACTAGAAAAATAAACGTATAAGCTAAGGTAGATTGCATGTACAAATTAAACAACCATCAGCGGAACCAAATGAAATGGCATTTGGAGTTCATCAAATCTTTTATTGAAGAAACCTCCGTATAAACATTTGAAGGAATGCTGGCAAAAACTAGTAAGAATGCTATATTTGACTTGCGGCTTATCATGGATCAAATAACTTTTTTAATAAAAAAATACAAGTTTTTCTAACAAGTTTTTAGATATAAAAAAACATTTTCCCATATAAAACAAAGTGAAAAGAAAAGCATAAAAACCAATTAAAAAAATCAAATGTTAAAGAAAAACTAAAATTAATCAATTTTATTAAAGGATATATAAAAAAAGAGTTAACTCATATTAATAATTAAAACCCGTGATTTTGATCTTGAGGTTGGGACTAACCTTACTGAAAAGAAAAAAACAATACAGATAAAATCTCAATTAGAAAAAATAAACAAAAAAGCGAGTCTACATGAAGGTTTTGACATTATCACTAGTGAGCCTGAATGCCCATTAAAGAAAACCTTTTACATGCACCGACCACCAATTACCTTGGTTTGCTAGGAACCACCTGCTATTGTCACAACTATTTGCTATATTGACTTATCAAGGCACTACCTATTACTAGCAGACAATGCTACTATTAACCACTTAAACTTTCCATATCAAGCTGCTAAACGCTTTGGTTAGGAAGAAAAAATTAAATTACTTGAATTAAGAAATTAATTAATTATCAAATACATCAACCTTATTTTAAAGCATTTTAGATTTTTGGACTCATCAATTGACGTAATATGTGGGAAGCTGATAAAAAAACCATCAGTTTTTAAAACTTTTTTTTTTTAACATTTCTAGGTTATTCTATAACACAAAATTAAGACACACTAAGATAAAGAAGAAAAATAAATCTAGATGTTACCATATACACTTCTATTTAATTAGACCTTCAATAACTCACTATTTATACGCACCTCTTTACTCGTACTGTGCTAGCATTATAAATCAAAATCAGACATTGTTACTTTGACAAGTTTTGACACCCTTGATAAAACATAACACCCCAGTACCATAGCTACTTACTATACCAGGCACTTGTAGATGATTATAAGAAAAAAAAAATACTAAACATAATAACAATATTGAGAGTCCCTCAAGAGGTCACTTGTGTCATTGCAATACCTATGTACAGAGCTAATACTCCGAATGTCCTCACCCTAATTACCATTAGATGGACACTAATTATTATAACCATTGTTATACCTATGTACAAAACTAGTACTTTGAATGTCCTCACCCTAGCTACTATTAGATAGATACTAGTTATTATAACAATTATTTAATGCCAAATTCCCTAGGCTCCCAAGAACCTAATAGAAAATAAAAGAAGATATGTATATGAGTATACATAAGATAATGATTACAATCTCCATCAATGGAGGGGTTCTTCCTTTTCCAAATGAATATTGAACACTTCACTCCTTAAGAATTATA